TTATTTATTTCATTAGGATTTTTAGTTTGCTTAAAATTTTAATTAGGATTTTAATTATTTATTATTAGGATTTTTAGTTTATCATAAATTAGGAATTAAGTGTTTTTATTTTATTAAGAGTTAGTATTTTATTTTCATTAGGTTATCTCAAAGCTATAAATACCCTATAGGGGTGAAGCTTGAGACATGTTCAAAATTCAGCATAGAACTGAGTTTGGCTTTTTCTTTGTTTTAGTTTTTTTCAATAAAATTATTTTCTTCTTCATATTTTCTCTTTTCCACACGCCAAGTATGAATTCTATCATGCTTGGCTTTTTCTTAGTCGATAACTGAGCTACGACTCGATCTGATCATGTGAGATTTGCAAAAGCACTTCACATCTTCAGATTCTTTCTTAATTTTAGACAGATAAGGAGAGGCAATTGACCTTTCTTCAAGCATCTCAATATCTTCAATCCAAAGAGTGCACATTGGCTTGATCAACGTAGTGATCTACAGTTGGGGATGAGAGTCGAGTTGTAGCAAATTCAATTCTCTAAGAACAAACCTAGCGTCGGTCTATTAAGGGAAATCAAAATCAAGTTCGATTCTCATCAAGACACAATAATCCGAGCACGGTATTTTCCAGTTCCTAAACCAACAATGGTATTAATATCGACAGTTTATATTAATCCAAACAAGGGCTAAATTTCAACAATTTGCTTTGGAAATTAGTTCACCATATAGAAGAGAAAGTTACAAGGGTTGGGCCTTGTAGACTGTAATCGATAGGTATCCGAAGTAAAATCTATTTTTAGTGATCGAGACAGATTGAGACAAAATGAAGTTGGAGGCTACCTCTCATATCATTTAATTCTTTAAAATTTACTTTTATTGCTTTTACTTTAGTTTTATTTTATTTATTTTAGTTACTTGATTATTCAAAACCCTTTTTTTTATAGGTCATTTGGTTAGCATCAAATCAAAATTAGAAATTTTTGAATCCATGTGGACCGATCCTTTCTTCTGTTTTATGTGTTTATAGCTTACTTATCTGAGAAAAATGGCTTATTTATTTGACAGTTACAACACTTGTCAAATTGGAGCCGTTGCCAGGGATCACAACAAAATTATTGATTAAAGTTTTTTTATGACAGGAAAAATCTGGGGGAACTAGTAGATTGGATATTTGATATCAAAGCACTATCTTGAAAAATACACGTATGTACACTAAGAGAAAGGTGAAAACAACAATAAGAACAACAACAATATGAATCAAATCTAGAACCTAATCTAGACACATCTTTTGAACTCGAGACCTTTTCTAACGCCGAAGAAGACTTCGAAGAACTGATTCTGATTACTGAACAGATAATCCGAGAATTAGCTACGACAATTACCGAACAACAACCATTATTCATTGTATTCTCCTATGGAGAGACACCGTTTAAGCTAAAAATGGGTTTGATCCATCTTACACCTACTTATCATGGACTGCCCAGCGAAAGTCCTCACAAGCATCTTACTGAGTTTCATCTGGTTTGCTCTAGTATGAAACCACAAGGAGTATCTGATGATTGAATTAAACTCCTCTCTTTTCCTTTTCATTTACTCGACTCGGCTAAAGATTTATTATTTTATTTACATACTAATTTTGTTAATACATGGGCTGATATGACTAGTCATTTTCTTACAAAATTATTCTCTACAGGAAAAATGAGTAAATTAAGAAGGATTCATGAGATAAGTACAATTTCATTGAAAAATAAAATTGATAAATTAACTGATATTGTTCAATCTCTTGTTGCAAGCAAAATAGGTACCGTTAGATTTTGTTGAATATGCATAATGACGAACCATCCCACAGATTGTTTTTCGATATTACAAGACAACAATCCCGCATATGTTAATGCAATTGGAAATTTTTTGAGACATACCTAGAGACAGTAAAACCCTCATACAAAAACATATAATTCGAGATGGAAGGACCATCCAAATTTCAACTATGGGTAAAATCCGAAGCCATCTTTACCCCAACAGTACCAATCACCACAATCATCATTGGAGTCCATCGTCGAACGTTTGGTGATATCTCAAGAATAATTTTAGAATATAACTGAAGCTAGCTTTCAAGATCTCAAAAGACAAATGAGTCAATTGACTCAGACCGTGGGACAAATGAAATCATAGGGAAAACTACCATCTCGAAACATGGCAAACCAATGAGAAAATGTTAGTTGCCATCACCCTTCGAGGTGGCACTATTATTACACCCATCCCTAAAGAAGTTGATGCAGAATCAAAGAAAGAAAAAGAATAATTACGATCCCATAAATAAAATGAAGAATTTGACAAGAAATCCCAGAGAAAAAGAAAGATAAATCATAACTTTTCCTACGCTATCTCCCTGTACGATGTCACCTCTATTCTCCTCAAGGTTAGCAAAACGTGATAAGAAAATAGAGGAATTTTTTTTAGACATTTTTCAGAAAGTGGAGATAAACATACCTCTCATCGAGGTAATCCAAAAAGTGTCACGGTATGCCATATTTTTAAAAGATATTTACAAAAACATAAAGAGACTTATCGACAATGAAAAAGGGTAATTTAGGTGAAAATGTCTCCTCTGTTTTTCAATGTATGCTTCCACCAAAATTAAAATATCAAGGTATATTTGCTATATGTGACACTCTAATGCAATTTGACCCGAAGATCCATGGATTTCAATGTTAGATGGACTACTGAAATAGTTACCCAAAAATTTCTTTAAAAACTGCTTAAGAAATCACTAGAATAGATCATCCATAATAGTAAAAGTAAAATGAGGTAATAATCTGAGTTTACAAAACAATTTAGAGCTCTCAAAATAAATCCAAAATAATACAGTACCAAGTATAAAACATTTACGACTAAATAGTACATAAGGTTTATAAATAGTACATACCTTCTAAAGATGACTCAAGATGTACTCTGATGATTTCTGATGGCCTGGTCTGTTGCATTGGATATCTAGTAATGATAACTCCACACGAACTACCCCTAAAAACCTGCATACTGAAACACATTCCGAATGTTGAGCTTACGAGCTCAGTCTCTCACTAAAAACTTTACTATACTATATGCATTCAGTAAATGAAGTGGCAAGTGGAATATGTATGAACATTCAACTACTAAACTACTAATATGTGGTTGGCATCATGGTACAACTAAGGGATTCTGCATTTCGGAGCTCACAGACCAATCTATCACTACCGATGTACCCTTGGTTACACCTAGGGTGAGATCCAAAATTTTGCATCGAAAGTGTACACCCACCAACTTACTACATCGATTCTTGGGGCATTTGCGTTCAGGTGGCCATTGAAGTGCATGTCATTAACTTGGATCCATTGACTGTCATATTCTGCTAGAAGGAACTCAGGTGTCCTGGCTGTTTCTCGAGTATCAAACAATGCTAGTTTTATGTAAACCTAGTTGTCGCTGTTTCTACTATTTTTATATTACTTACTGTTATCGCCTGAAGTCTTATTTTCTGTATTAGAGTGTATTTGGGGTACCTCGGGTCTAACCCCTTAATCCTTTGATTATTTATCCAAAAATGTTCGTGGGTATCGATACTAACCCTTCAGTATCGATAGAGAACCTTTGGTATCGATACCCACCTAATGGTATCGATACCCTTTTACTGAATAAGGTTATTTGTTTAAGGTAGTATCGATACTCGAGGCTGAGTATCGATATTTCAGTGTTGAGGTATCGATACTAGACTGAGTATCGATACCAAAATTGGATTTTATGTTTTGAAAATACCCAATATTGATATTCCTGCTCTGGTATTGATACTCAATGAATGAGTATCGATACTACCTTTATAAAACTACCAGTTTGTGCATGACTAAATAATAATATCGATATTGTTCTTATAATATCGATGCCATCACTACTAGGGGCTCTGTTTTGGTATTAAAAATCCTATCTTTTCATACCTACATACCTCATTAAGATCCCCAAATGATGTTTAACTATTTTATTGATATTAGGGGTCATAAATAGGTTTTAACACATACCAAAACATCAAATATATGAATCTACCATTAAAGTGGTTCAACCTTATGCAACTTACCAATTCTCATGTAAATGAGCTACACATGGTATATGTGAGCTAGAAATGAGTTACCTGAGTATCTAAGCTGCTGGAAGTGTCAAAGGCTCAACCCAAGGTAAGCTTCTCTTTCCCTTTAGCTTGGAAGCTATCTCCAACTTCTCTCACTAGATAAAATTAATCATATAAATTATTAACATTGCTGGGATGATTAGAGGAGGATTTAAAACGTTCTAGGAGGCCAAAATCTCACCAAAATGAAATGAAAATACTTGGGTTTCTAAAACCTCCACTAAACCCAGTTTTGGTTTTTCTTTCAATAAAATCCGCAAATGGCAGTATGAATTAAAGTGAAAGCATGATGGTTCTACCTTAGCTTAACCTTGCACTAGCTGGAAATCTATAAAGTTTCCACCTTTATGCTTATCTTAAAGAAGAGCAGAGAAGAATACAAACAATATCATATATAACTAAGAACTATTCAACTTTTGAAATCTTAAATTGTGAAATTACTTCCTTGGTCCCTCTGATTCTGGCTACAGACTAAAAACACCTTTTTTCACTCTTCATTGGGCTTGGCTCAAGCCTAAATCCATCTCAATTTAGGTCAGAACTTTTTATGAACTAAATAATTAAATCAAGGTCCACCCCGAGCTAGCCTAAAACTCATAGCCTAGGATTTGAGGCTTAAGAACTTTCCCCTCCTAAATAAAATTTCATCCTCAAAATTTACCTAGATAGAAAATGTGAGGGTACTAAAGCTGTATGTCCTCTTTAGTTTCCCAAGTCACCTCCTCGACGCCATGGTTCCTCCATATCATATTAACCAAAAGAATCCTCTTATTCCTTAACTCATTCACTTTGCTTGCCAAGATTCTGACTATTCTTCTGTATAGGCCATATTTGAGTCGACCTTAATCTACTCTAAGGGTATGACATACAAAGGATTGAAACAGTATCTCCTGAGCATAAATACATGGAACACATTATGTATGCACTCCAACTCAGGTGGTAAGGCTAACCTGTAAGCCACTGGTCCAACTCTCTCAAGTACCTCATAAGTTCCTATGAAGCATGGACTCAACTTTCCTTTGCGACCAAAGAGAATTACTTTCTTCCAAGAAGAAACGTTGATGAACACTTTGTCCCCAACTGCGAACTTGATGTCTTCACGCTTCAAATCCGCGTAGGACCTCTGTCTATCTGAGGCTTCCTTAAGTATGTTCTAGATTAATCATACTTTTTCTTTTTTCTCTTTGATCAAGTTTAGCCCCACTATCTTACCCTCATTGAGTTCTGTCCAATAAAGTGGAGTCCTACACTTACACCCGTATAAGGCCCTATGTGGGGCCATCTGAATGATCGATTAAAAGCTGTTGTTGTAGGCAAACTCCATTAATGTAAAATGGTCTTCCAAACTACCCTCTCGATTGATGATAGTGCACCTGAGCACGTCCTCGAGAATCTGGATAACTCTCTTTGACTGGCCATTTTTCTGAGGATGGAAACACTAGTAGAAAAACCCCCTTTAATGACGCTCATTGCGCGTCATCTATGGGTGAGGATGACACACATTTGCCTGTCGTTGAAGCCACCGACATGAATTTAAGATGACACGCAACTATGTATCATGCATTTATGACGCGCATTTATGACTTACATTGCGCGCATTTATGACTTACATTGCGCATCATTGAAGCCCTCGTCATAAATGAAGATGACACACATTTGTGTATCATAAATTTATGACACACATTTATGACTTACATTGCGTGTCATTGAAGCCCCCGTCATAAATGAAAATGACACACATTCATGTGTCGTGATTGTATTTCGTGAATTATATATATATATATATATATATATATATATATATATTGTAGATTGACAAATAATCAAACTAAATCACATTTAATGCCTCGTAATACTAAATATATATATCATATTATATATAAGCAATACATTTGTATACAATATATTCACACTACAAATAGTTTACAATAAACGATTAGTCAAAGAAAACAAAGAAAATACGACATTGAGAAAGAACGTATAACCATTATATATATACAATAATGCACTTTGTTTCCACATACTTAGAGCTTTGAGCATCTGGATAAAAGCCACATATATCTGCAAATAGGCAGTGTTGTCAAACCTGTATTGACAAAAAAAAATGAGGATGCTTAGAATATGAAAAAACAATATCAACAAATGGTAAGCAAAATAAAACAAAGATGTCAAACTTTTGCACAACCAGTACATAATAAGCTCCATATCATATAAGCAATTTGCAGAACACATCACCATATGAAATGTTAACATCGGTCCTATATCAAACATCTACAATCCCAACTTACCATGAAGATGGCGTGGCAAGATTAGTGCAAACAAAGCACAAAAAAGAAATGTGATATGTAGAGAAAACTGAAAAGCTACCTCATATCAAATACAACAACATAATGTTTTTAACTACTACTCTTACATGGAATCATCAAGAATATCCAGGGGGAGAGGAGAGGAGGGCTGCTGAGGTCTCTAATGCTAATTGCTAACCTACAACTATAGTTCAGACTATAGCATACCAACAGAAAAAAACTAAAGAAAGCGCGGGGGGTTGTGATATACGCAGTACATATGAGCAAGCAGTGCAATCGGAAAAAATGTAATTGCTATACAAAACATTTACTAAAGTACAACAGAAACTAAGGTTATGTGTCTCAATTATGCCCAAGTCAGTGCCTAATGCTTTTCCCACTTCTTGTGCTGGAAACAAATGGACCACACAATATCCTTGAGAATCAAATATCAACAAAACTAATGAACTAGATGATTTGGACTAAGGGGAAAGCACCAACAGTGAAAGGCAAAACCAGTCATACCAGAACTACAAACTCTGCCTTGTGCAATTTGGGAGGACAAAAGTTTGATCAACCAAAGACTAGTTCAACCTTCAAATTTGTTTTAGATGCTGTCTGCAAAAGTTTAGAAGTCATTAGTACACCTAAATTTAGCTACCATCTTTAACAATAGTTGTCTATAGGGTTTAGAAACATATAATGTTTCGATAACTGTGGGCGATACCAGAATACATAGGCTCTTGGTACTCCTGCTACAAAATAGATTATAGACAATAACCAGATCTTAACACCTAAACAATAATAAGGAAAACACAACATAATCACAATGTTATATTAAGAAGAAAAACAAGACATGGAAGAATATAACTAAATTAACCTTCCCCTTTGATCCATGTTGTAGTAACGGCTATGATATTCCACATAAGGCATAGAACCAATCCTGCATAGAATCACCATCAATCATTGAATTGTCTCCAGTCCATGGCTTTACACCAAAGCCATTTTCAACTAAAGAGTTAACAAAATAAAAGCATGGTACAAAAAATTACCCAATGTTATTTAGCATGGTACAAATGAAGGCATGATACCTAGATGTACCATGCATAGAATCCTAAAAAGGAAAATACAGGAAAAACTTACATGCCTAAAAAATGTCAAAAATGCAACATACTGCAATCTTTGTAGATGAATTGGAATTTCACTGGCAATATCATGATGAATGATTAGAAAAAATGGTGGCCAATTTTTCTCTTCCACAACAATTCCAGCTGCAAAGCAGAGAAGTGAAACTGTAGTTCATGACAGAAATGAAGTTTTGACCATAAAAAGAAATAAAATAAGGTCAAAAATTTTGCAAAAAAGTATAGAGTAATCTAGACCAAATACTGAAGCTGAGAACAAAACGAAATGTGATCACTGAGACTAGTTAAATAAAGGAAAATGAAAGGTACCTCTTGTCACTGCCTCTTCTTTCTGCCTCACTTCCTACAAGGAGTAAGCTGATGACCAATGAAATTGTAGGGATGCTATGATCTTTCATGATATTTATTTGAGAAATAAATGTGCAAGAATGTGAACTTGCAGCTTAAAACCATCCGAATGACTTAGTACACTAAAATAGATCGAGAAACACATGATATTCCACCAACAGCCTGATAAAGTATCCTAACAGTATTTTATGATACTAGGATACTGGATTATTTAGATAATTTTTTGCTTTCATTACATCAAATTCTAAATAGGTCGATGATACATCTTTGGAAGAGAAATGAGAGAGAAAAAGTAAACCTATGATTCAGTAGATCACAAATGAATTCAATGTTGTAAAATCTATTATACAATATGTCTGTTCCTGCCTTTTCAGTTCTGCTTCCTTAGCCTGGACTTTCTTGTTTAAATCCTACATTTAAATAGTAAACCAGGAAAGTGAGATTCAGGGCTTAACCGAATAATGTAAATGAAATTTAGAGACATTTCTTTACCAACCTGATTATGTGATCCTCCTGAAGCTGTATCAAGAGGAATATCAATTGTTGCCCCACGGTCACAACTGAAACTGGCAGGTTCCAGAGGTAGCGGTGAAAGTCTTGAGTTTGAGGCAGGTGGAACACTTGTAGTACTCTGAAAATTATTGATAATACGCATTCAAGAAGCAGGTAATATAAGCAACTATTTCAATATACAGTTATTGATAAGTGATATTAAAAAGCATTATTAGAGATGACCAAATCAAAATAAATATAGCAAGGAAACTATTTTTTCAGGACTAAGTCATCCTAATCCTTGGTTAAAATAAAACCTCACTCCTAAACCTCTCTCAGGCCCAGAGTTATAACTACCAATTTTGCATTCACTAATAGATCTGGTATTTCGGCACACGAGGGATTTAAAAGGGTTGTTAGCATAGTATGACCTCAACAAAAACCACAATCTTTGCCCATCATTCTAGCAGGTTCCTCGTTATAAAGTGATGCATGTTCTCTAGCACTTTCTCGTTTCTAAACAACAACCTCATCACAAGTTTCACCTTAGAATTAGAATTTAAGGTATTAAATGAACTGCATTTCAATAAGCTCCATGTAACAATGAGAACAGTATGCCAATGTTAAAATTAACATAGGGAAAATTTTAGATAAGATAACAAAATTAATTTACTTACCCTTTCGTGTTTGCAGCCGTGGACCAGAAGTCAGAGAGCGTACAACTTCCTGCATATCATTACCAGAATGGTTGCCAAGACAAATTTGCGGTGATGGCCTCACTTTCCCCTTGTCTAAGTTCTTAAATGAACTTTCTCGAGACAAAGAAGATAATCTGTTGGGGCTCAATGATCTTGGTGATCCATCAACAACCTGCCTTTTTGGAGCTGAAGTACCCTCTAGATTTTCAATATGTCTCTTACTTAAGATACATGTACTTGAGATAAGTTTATTTTCCATTTTCCCCTCATCATCCAAACCTTGAAAATTCAATCGCAAAAGGATGTCAGCACATGATCTTGTATGGGTGTCATTTTTATTCTCTGTTTGAAAACTAACATTGCTTTTGGTTTTCAGTTTCCTCAGCCAGCTTGCATTCTTCACAGAGCCAATCACCTTCAGAAATTTTCCGAAGCATTTCTCGCATACAATAACTGATCAATAGCATTAATAACATAAAACTCACCAGTTTTATCCAGTGGGTTCTCGCTACTGCCCTCAATATCTTCTTCTAACTTGGGATGGATTTTGGGAGAAATCTCGGATCTGCCTCCAACGGCACTCTTGATGCTTCCAGAATGTGAAGATGGAATTTGGATCATAGTTGAACTACCACCAGAACCTTCGTCCTTCATAGAAGAAACTGACAAGTCTAGCTTCTAGGAAGAGGGCACCTTTTCGGATCCTAAACTACAAACTGACACTGAACTATGAGATGAATTATTACAGTCTAAATCCTTGTTACAATAACTAAAATTTATATTTCCATCACCGGCTCTACTAGCACATGAAATACTATCAACACGACATTCAACAACTTTAGAAGACGATCTTGCAGTTGCTTTACTTTCAATATTTTCAGAGAAAATAGAAATCAACAAAACCCCAAATATTGGAATAAAGAACGAGGAATACATGTGGAAACCCTTGAATTTGACTCCCTCGTCTGCGGTGAATGGCCAAACCAGTGGGAGGTTGCAAAGAGAAAAAGGGAAAAAGAGAAAAATGGGGAAGCAAGCGCCGTGAGGGAAGGAGCGGGAAAAGATGAAAATAATAGAGGGGGAAAAATTAAAATACGACTTTTAAAGATGACACACAATTAAAACTGTACTCCGTGTTTTTACAAAAAATTTTGATTATGACTATTAAATATGACACACATTATTGTAGGTCATAAATCGTTCAGATTTTAAAAAACATGACATTTTTTTAATGACACACATTTTTGTAAGTCATAAATTAGCGTGTGTCATCGTTCGTGTGTCATTAAAGGTATATTTTCTTGTAGTGAAAGTTATGCTAAAGTGTAGTTTGGTGCCTAAGGATTTATGGAGGCTTCCCAAAAGCAAGTGGTGAATCAAGGATCTCTGTATGATATGATGAAGGTTGGTACCCCGTGCAACCTCACTGTCTCATGGATGTACAACCGAGCTAACAGCTCTAAGGTATATTCCATCTTAATTTTAAGGAAGTAGGTTGACTTGGTTAAGCGGTTTATTATAACCCAAACTGCGTCATGTCTCTTTCTGGTCATTGGTAACCCAGTCACGAAGTCCATAGTTACCCTGTCCCATTTCTAATAAGGAATCTAAATGGGCTGAAGCAAACCTGAGGGAACTTGATGTTCCGCCTTTACCTGTTAACACATTAGGAATCTAGCGAAGAACTCTGACAGTTCTTTTCTCATACCCAACCAAAAGAACAATCAAAGAAGCTCCTGATACATCTTGTTACTGTCTGGGTGTACTTAGAGTGAACTACAGTGTGCCTCATGGAGAATCTTACTATTCAATAAGCCGTCTGTGGGTACGCAAAACTGACCCCCGAGTACAATAAATATCCATCGTGTAACTCAAAATTTGGGGCCTCGCCCTAACAAACCTGCTCAATCTGGGTTCTCAACATGTCATCTAAACTCTGCAGTCTATTAGATTCACCTTCTAATTCTGGTTCAAATCGTAACTCTACTAATATCCCACCATCAGTTGATGAACTCAACCATGATATGAGGGCTCGCACTCAGATATCAACTTTCTGCTCAAGGTGTCTGTTACAACATTGACCTTTCTTGGGTTATTATCAATCACAAAGTCATAATCCTTAAGCAACTCAACTTATATGTAATATCTGAGGTTTAATTCCTTCTGAGTAAGAACATACTTGAGGCTATTGTGATCTGTGAAGATGTGACACTTTTCACCAAAGAAGTAGTGCCGCCAAATCTTTAAAGTAATCACCACTGCTTCTAGTTATAGGTCATAAGCGAGATAGTTATGCTCATGAAGTTTAAGATGCTGGGATGTTTAAGCAACAACTTTACCTCATGCATTAGAACATATCTGAGTCCATTAAGCGAAGCATTAATAAAAACTGTAAAGTCCTTGCCCGACTCTAGTTGGGTCAATACGGGGGCTAAGGTCAAGATAACCTTCAATTGCTCAAAGTTCTCTTGTCGTTTCTCATTCTGAATGAATGTGACTCATTTTTAAAATAATTTGGTTAACATGATCTCTATCATCAAGAAACCCTGAACAAATCGACGATAGTATCAGGCTAAACCAAGAAAACTGTGTACCTTTGACATATTTTTGGGTGGCTCCCAATCAAATATGGCCTGAATTTTTTTAGGGTCAACTCTGATGCCTTCTACTAAAACGTCATGTCTCAATAATGCTACCTCCGATAACCAAAACTTGCACTACCTAAATTTGGTATACAAATATTTGTCTTTGAGGGTCTGTAAAACGATACTAAGATACTGGTCGTTCTCCTCCTTTGATTGTGAGTATACCAAGACATTGTCTATAAACACCACCACAAACTTATCTAGGTATGGGTGTAAGACTTGGTTCATTAAATCTATGCATATCGCCATAGCGTTTATGAGTCCAAACAACATTACTAGGAACTCGTAATGACTGTCCCTTATCTGGAAGTTATCTTCGCTACATCTGCATCCTTAACTTTTAATTGATAGTAGCCTAACCGTAGATCAATCTTTGAGAAAATGCGCATTCCTCTCAACTGGTCAAAGAGGTCATCTATCTTGGGAAGTGGGTATCAGTTTTTAATAGTTAACTTGTTCAACTACCTGTAGTCAATGTACAACCTCATCGACCTATCTTTCTTCTTAATGAACAAGACCGTGTTCCCCAAGGAGAGATGCTCAAATAGATGAAGACCTTCTCTAAAAACTCTTGAATCTGACCCTTTAACTCATTTAGCTCTATCGGTACCATGCGATAGGGATCAATGGAGACCGGTGCCAAACTCGACATTACTTTAATGTCAAACTTCAATTCTCGCTTAGGTGGTAAACCGAAAACTCTTTTGGAAACACAATGAGAAAATTTTACACTGTTCATATATCATTGAATATGAGTACTGAAATTCGAGTGTCGACCACGTGAGCTAGAAAGGCCTCGTACCCACAATCGATTATTCTTTGCGCTTTCAAAGCTGATAATATTCTAGTCTGGTGGAATCTCTCGATCACCAACTTGGTTTCATCGACTATTCTGAGTTTAAATCGTCTAACTTTGCACCTCAAACTGACATCATGCTTAGTTAACCAATCTATCCCTAAGATCATATCAAACTCTTTGAAGGGTAGTTCCATCAAATCTGTGGGGAAGATCTGATCCTGAATCCTCACCGGATAGCGTTTGAAGATTTTGTCCACGAGGATATCTAGACCTAAAGGGTTCAATACTCAAACACCTATCTCACGATCCTCTGCAGAGGTTTCTATTTCTTAGAATAAGTTAGAATATATGTAAAAGTAGTTGGAACCGAGGTCTATAAATACGGTAAATGGAATGGAAAAGATTGTAATTATACCTGATATCACATTTGTCGCATTGACTTTCTCACATGCTCGTATCGCATACTGTCTGGATACCACTCTCGATGTTACATTAGCCACTGATATAGATGTCCCACAGCTATGCTGCCTAGACACAACACTACCACCCCCTAATTGGCCCTTGACCTCTCTGCACTGATGGTGTCGAACGTTGAGTTATCACTGATGTTGTACCCTGATCTTCTGGGCAATCTTTAGCAAAGTGATCCATAGAGCCGCAATTATAGCAACCTTTAAATCCTAGCTGGCATGTCCCCAGATGTCTCTTTCTACGTCGAGTACAATTAGTATAGGTGTACCCTTTAGACGGCTCATTGACAACACTCCTCGAAGCTATTTTCAATGGTATCCTCTTCGAGTCAGATCTACCCCACAACTCAAACTCTACCCGTTCTTCCTAGACTGAGATACTAGAAGCCTCAAATAACCCTGACTGTCCCTGGCCCTCTTGGCCATAGTCTGAGAAGGTTTTGTTGATTCAGTGGCTCTCTTAAACGATCCTATCGCCTCACTGAACTGTCTAGCATGTATCTCCAATACCCTCTCAACTACCTTTACCTGGCGGGTCAGTTGTACGAAGA